TATCACTTCGACATTCATTTTATAAAAACATTTCACATCATATATCAAACAAAATAAGCTTAAACATTTGTATTGCAGATGATACATATTTAGTACAAAAGCTACAATTACTTTGGGGCTACAACTAATCGGGTTTAATATTGAATAATAAGTAAATAAAGGATTAAATTGTGTCACCAAATTTGAATATTAAAATTTGAAATAGATAAGCAAACATGTTTGACAAAGGAATATTCAAAGTATGTCAATCTTTATAGATTAAATGGATTTGAGAACTTGTTTGCCATTGATATGAACATCTAAACTACAACATGTACAGGATTTCTGTATACTTGATGATTTTATAATTGATTTTCATTAAATGTGACTCTCAAATATGGTTTATGATTTGTTGAATTAGTAAATGCTTCAGCTGCAAACTGTTCATGACCAGTTTACTTATCCTCAATAAAAGTCAGGTAGAATATTTACTGTATTCTTCAAACAGGCAATTAATACATTGTAAGCTAATCAGTATATATCCATAGACTGTTAGTCTAGCAATAAAATGTTAATCATATCTGAGTTTGAAAGATTTACAAATGCATATTAACCTGTTACGAACAAAGAGCAGTTTTGATTATTTGCTATGTTTCTTGCAGTTGCTCAATCATAATTCCTCTCTTTTCTACACCATATGTTGTATATTTCTAACAAGGCGTTTATTGGCATTCACCAAAATGCAGAATACAAATAAAAATGTCATTTAGGGAACAGAAAGTAAAAGGGGGTGGATAAAAAGTGTGAATAGTTAATTATATATAATTTAGTGCACTAATGAGCTGAGTAATTTACCTGAAGATCTTCTGGAGTGAACCCATATTATGCCCTACATAAGACCACTCTGTACCACTCTGTACACAATGAGACCCAGCTTCTTTTGGTCTCTTTGATCCCTAAAAAAATCTATAGAATAATACCTGTATAGGCTGAAAAACTAAGGTTGGGTAAAATAGAAGCATGTGAAAAACATAAAGCAATTTTGGTAAAATAATAATTTTTATGGTGCTAGTGAGTCCTAACCATGAATAATTAAGATGCTTTCACAAATGTAGTTCATCTCTAACCTCCTGGACTAAAGACAGTTAAGTTTATATATCATCTAATATTTTAGCTACCTTAACCGATAGATACTTACATAGTTACATAGTTACATAGCTGAAAAGAGACTTGCGTCCATCAAGTTCAGCCTTCCTCACATATGTTTTTGCTGTTGATCCAAAAGAAGGCAGTCTGAAGTGCTTCCAATTTTGCAACAAACTAGGAAAAAATTCCTTCTTGACCCCCAAAATAGCAGTCAGATGTCTCCTTGGATCAAGCAGCTATTACCCCACTAATTAGAAATTATATCCATGTATGTTATGTTTTTGCAAGTATTTATCCAATTGCAGTTTAAACATCTGTATAGACTCTGAAAAAACCACCTCTTCAGGCAAATAATTCCATATCCTTATTGCTCTTACTGTAAAAAAACCTTTTCTTTGCCTTAGATGAAATCTCCTTTCTTCCAGCCTAAATGTGTGACCTTTTCTCCTATGTATAGCCCTGTTTATGAATAGATTTCCAGATAATGGTTTGTACTGGCCCCAAATATATTTGTATAATGTTATCATATCCCCTCTCAGGCGCTGTTTTTCCAAACTAAAGAGATTTCAGTTTTTCAACCTTTCTTCATAACTAAAATGCTCCATTCCTTTTATCAATTTTGTAGCTCGTCTCTGCACTTTTTCTAGTGCCATGATATCTTTCTTTAGAACAGGTGCCCAAAATTGCCCAGCATATTCAAGGTGTGGTCTTACCAGCGATTTATAAAGAGGCAAACTTATATTTTCATCTCGAGAATTTATGCACCTATTTATGCATGACAAAACCTTACTGGCCTTAGCAACAGCAGATTGACATTGCATATTGTTGCCTAATCTGTTGTCTATAACAATTCCCAAATCCTTCTTGTGTGTGGTTATCCCTAGTTCACTACCATTTAGGGTGTAAATTGCTTGTGCATTCTTAACCCTGAAGTGCATAACTTTGCATTTCTCTATGTTAAATTTCATCTGCCATTTTAGTGCCCAGTCCCCCAATCTATCCAAATCCTTCTGCAGCAAGGCAATATACTGCTCACATTTTATTACTTTACAAAGTTTTGTGTCATCCGCAAACACTGATACATGGCTTTCAATGCCCATTTCAAGATCATTTATAAATATGTTAAATAGAAGCGGTCCTAAAACAGAACCATGAGGGACACCACTTACCACTTTTGTCCAGTTGAAAATTTACCATTAACGACAACTCGTTGTACTCTATCCTTAAGCCAATGTTCTACCTAAGAACAAGAATATTCATCTAGACCAATTTCTTTTAGTTTGAAGACTAACCTGTTGTGAGGAACCGTATCAAATGCCTTGGCAAAATCCAAGTAGGTCACATTCACTGCAACACCCTGATCTATACTTCTACTTACTTCTTTGTAGAATGCAATTAGGTTTGCTTGACATGACCTATGTTTCATAAAACCGTTCTGATTATTGCTAATAACACAGTTCTTCCCAATGAATTCCTGAATATTATCCCTTAATAGCCGTTCAAATAATTTCCCAGTCACAGAAGTTAAGCTCACAGGTCTATAATTTCCAGGCAAGGATTTTGAACCCTTTTTAAATATAGGAACATCTGCCTTCCTCCAATCCTCCGGTACAATACCTGAAACAAAATAATCTTGAAAAATTAAGAATCTTACTTATAAATACTTGATAAAAGTCTTTTGTAAAAGTTACATAAAATTATTGAAGTTCATATGCAGGAATGGCTAATGCTAGAGCTTGTATTTTATTTATAATATGAGAAATACCCAAAATGGTCCAGCAGAGATAGTAATGCTGGTAGGGACTTTTCAGGATTGGTGATGGTGAATAAGATATCATCTGCAAACAGATTCGTTAGGTACAGTTGGCTGTTGTACTGTATACTTGTAATATCGAGGTGCTGCCAAAATGCCAAGGCTGATGGTTCCAATGCTAAGATAAATAAAATGGGGACGTGGAATACTCTTGATATGTTCCATTTGAAATGTTAAAAGGGTCAAATATAAAACCCGCGTATAAGATTTGTGTGGTGGGCTTAGCATATAACGGCATGATAGACTCATGGGCCTGTGAGGGAAAACTAAAAAACTCCAAACCTAAGCCTATGAAAAACAAATAGACAAAAAGAAAGGTAAGGGTGCGCCTGAATGAATAAATATAACAGATATATAAAATATAAAATATAGAATAAGATAAATGAAATAAAAGTCCAGAGCACTTATCAAATGTCCGTTATAGTAGTTTCTCCTTGTAGAGATAACAAATCTTTGGGACGTCAGACGGGGTTGAGACTTCACAGTGATGTACTTGAATCCGGTGAGGTACGTATATGAAAGGAAAACAGAAAAAAGGAAAACTCCAATGGTACAGTATATCAATCACAGTGTAAATATTGGAATAGTGTAAATAGTCCTACTCACACTTTTTGGAGCTAAAATTTAGCTCCAATATATGCGCGTGAAGTGGAATGATCCCCACTCATGGATATGTAGAGTAGTGCTTTGATTGGAGAATTCTAGGTCCGTATTCGGTGTTCCAATCAGTTTAACCCAAAATTGAGAGAATAAAAGAATAGTGCTCTCTGTTTGTAATATAAAATGGTGGTATATAGAAAATTACTTACACAGTATGGGGCAGATTTGTACTGCTCAGTGTAGGCGCTTAGGTGGTATAATCCCCACCTCTGGATTCTTTCAATTCTTTGTAGATGTAGGTCAGGTGCAGGTATTTATAAAATAAAATAAAATAAATATAAAGAAAATGGCAATAAAAATATTTTATGCCAAATAAAATTCTTTATTAGAAATAAATAAAATAAATACTAGTAATATCTAGACGCGTTTCGCCTCAAAAGGCTTCTTCAAGTAGATAATTATAAAGGAAGGCACACCTGACATACAAGGGTTTATATAACATACAGTACTTCTATGGAAATTTGAAATTCCCGCCAGAATGACGTCATTGGAATATTGTATATTTTATGTTTAAGCAAAATAAGAGTAAAAAGATATATTTATAAAATATAAGGAGGTATAGTATAAATATAAAAAGCAGAAATAAAAACGAGCATTTAAAAGGCTTAAAACAGCATAAAACAAGCGATCACGTGACATGCGGATCTAACTACTTCCGCGTCACGTGGTGCTTGGATGGAACGCATGCGTTTCAACCAAGTGGAACGCATGCGTCATTATCACGTGACGCGCGGCCGAGATTACTTCCGCGTCACGTGATAGTGGGATGGAACACATGCGTTCCAACTAGGTGGAACGCATGTGTAACAGAGTGGGAGGGAGCACCTCCCTGCATAAACAAAAAGAGGGAGGCACAGAAACGGAGCAGGAGACTCCACACTGAAGTATATATGGGCATAAATATAAAGTGCTCATATTGAGCATATATATTATGAAGACAGTTTAACACATGTAACCATATATAATCGATCAGCACATATTGGGAATAATTAAATAAAATACAATATATATATACATAGTGAAAAGAAAAATTATTTTGAGGCTGATAAAAAATTATTAATTGCAGTAGAATTTAAGCAAGATAAAACCATATAAGAAACATTTAGTTGGAAATAATAAAAAACAATAATAATAATAAAAAGTAGAATAACAATGAATGAAATGAATGAAAATGGATAAGAATGGGTTTTAAAAGGGTGGTAACAAATATTAAAAATATAAATCCAGATTGTATTATTCCAGAAAGTTGAAAAGGTCAAAGTCAATATTTAACCCTATAGGGGCAAGAGTTTTTAAATTGTATGCCCATTCCATTTCTTTTTTACCTAATATTTTCTTAATATCTCGCCCTCTCCACGGAATGCTACAAGTATCAATTCCAATACATTTGAGGTATTTTGGATTTTTTCCATGTTGTAGGAAATGTTTCGAAACTGAATGATTCTCATAGCCTTTTAGCCTAAAAGGCTATGAGAATCATTCAGTTTCGAAACATTTCCTACAACATGGAAAAAATCCAAAATACCTCAAATGTATTGGAATTGATACTTGTAGCATTCCGTGGAGAGGGCGAGATATTAAGAAAATATTAGGTAAAAAAGAAATGGAATGGGCATACAATTTAAAAACTCTTGCCCCTATAGGGTTAAATATTGACTTTGACCTTTTCAACTTTCTGGAATAATACAATCTGGATTTATATTTTTAATATTTGTTACCACCCTTTTTAAACCCATTCTTATCCATTTTCATTCATTTCATTCATTGTTATTCTACTTTTTATTATTATTATTGTTTTTTATTATTTCCAACTAAATGTTTCTTATATGGTTTTATCTTGCTTAAATTCTACTGCAATTAATAATTTTTTATCAGCCTCAAAATAATTTTTCTTTTCACTATGTATATATATATTGTATTTTATTTAATTATTCCCAATATGTGCTGATCGATTATATATGGTTACATGTGTTAAACTGTCTTCATAATAAATATGCTCAATATGAGCACTTTATATTTATGCCCATATTTACTTCAGTGTGGAGTCTCCTGCTCCGTTTCTGTGCCTCCCTCTTTTTGTTTATGCAGGGAGGTGCTCCCTCCCACTCTGTTACACATGCGTTCCACCTAGTTGGAACGCATGTGTTCCATCCCACTATCACGTGACGCGGAAGTAATCTCGGCCGCGCGTCACGTGATAATGACGCATGCGTTCCACTTGGTTGAAACGCATGCGTTCCATCCAAGCACCACGTGACGCGGAAGTAGTTAGATCCGCATGTCACGTGATCGCTTGTTTTATGCTGTTTTAAGCCTTTTAAATGCTCATTTTTATTTCTGCTTTTTATATTTATACTATACCTCCTTATATTTTATAAATATACCCTTTTACTCTTATTTTGCTTAAACATAAAATATACAATATTCCAATGACGTCATTCTGGCGGGAATTTCAAATTTCCATAGAAGTACTGTATGTTATATAAACCCTTGTATGTCAGGTGTGCCTTCCTTTATAATTATCTACTTGAAGAAGCCTTTTGAGGCGAAACGCGTCTAGATATTACTAGTATTTATTTTATTTATTTCTAATAAAGAATTTTATTTGGCATAAAATATTTTTATTGCCATTTTCTTTATATTTATTTTATTTTATTTTATAAATACCTGCACCTGACCTACATCTACAAAGAATTGAAAGAATCCAGAGGTGGGGATTATACCACCTAAGCGCCTACACTGAGCAGTACAAATCTGCCCCATACTGTGTAAGTAATTTTCTATATACCACCATTTTATATTACAAACAGAGAGCACTATTCTTTTATTCTCTCAATTTTGGGTTAAACTGATTGGAACACCGAATACGGACCTAGAATTCTCCAATCAAAGCACTACTCTACATATCCATGAGTGGGGATCATTCCACTTCACGCGCATATATTGGAGCTAAATTTTAGCTCCAAAAAGTGTGAGTAGGACTATTTACACTATTCCAATATTTACACTGTGATTGATATACTGTACCATTGGAGTTTTCCTTTTTTCTGTTTTCCTTTCATATACGTACCTCACCGGATTCAAGTACATCACTGTGAAGTCTCAACCCCGTCTGACGTCCCAAAGATTTGTTATCTCTACAAGGAGAAACTACTATAACGGACATTTGATAAGTGCTCTGGACTTTTATTTCATTTATCTTATTCTATATTTTATATTTTATATATCTGTTATATTTATTCATTCAGGCGCACCCTTACCTTTCTTTTTGTCTATTTGTTTCTTATATTTAGGGGATCATAGGCGATTCCCCTTTTAGGTGTGCTGCCTTCTCACTCATTCTGTGGCAGTTAAGCGCTGATTTTTCCTATTTCTAAGCCTATGAAAAGCCTTTTCAGCAGCCAAAGCTAGCACAAGTTAGCTTGTAGTATAACTTTGCATCACAGTTCAGTAGCGTTATCGGTCAATTTGCAGACCTCTATGTATCTTTTCCCGGATTTGGGAGATTAATTACATGTGCCAGCATCTCTCCCGATAGAGTCCCCCCCTCCATTGCACCGTTATTAAACACTTTGTGTATATAAGGACAAATAGCAGTTGCAGATGTGCAGCAATATATTGAGAAAAGACCACCTGGTCCAGGGGCATTGTGTGCTGGTAGCACATAAATTCCTTCCTGTATTTCTTGGGTGGAGAAAGAGGATATCCGGGTGGTCACCGGTATCTGTGTTAATTTAGATGAAAGAAAAGCAGTAATTTCCTCTGTAGTATTTTGCTACATACCCTGTTTATGCCCCAAATTATATAGGTTATTATGGAAGGCATGAAATTATTTGGCAATATATTGGGGTTGCCTTATTTCTTCCCTTCAGAGTTAAATATGAAGAAGGTCTTGGATGACGCTGACTTCTGATGAAGTGGGCGAGCAAAGGAAGCACCCTCTCTTTTGCCTTATGTATAATAGCAGCTTTTCAGTCTACATAATATACACAATATATCAGCCACAACAATAAAACCACTGGTAGGTTGCGTGAATAACATTGACTATATAATTACAAGGGGTGGGATATATTAGGCAGCAAGTAATGAGTCAGTTCTTGAATTTCCCATGGGAAGTAGGAAAAATGGGTAATTGAAAAGATCTGATTGACTTTGACAAGGGTCAAATAAAGATAGACGACTGAGTCAGAGCATCTCCTAAATGGCAAATCTTGTGGGGTGTTTATTGGGGGTATGTGGTTAGTACTTACCAAAGTGGTTCAAGGAAGAAAACCTCAGGGTCATGGGGAATGAAGGCTATCCTGTCTTGTTTGATCATACAGAAGAGCTTCTGTAGTTTAAATTGCTGAAAAACGTAATGCTGATTATTATAGAAAGGTGTCAGAACACACAGTGCATCACAGTTTAGGGTTTATAGGGTAGAGTAGCCGCAGACTGGTGAGAGCGACCATGATGACCCCGTCCACCACCAAAAGCACAATGGGGATGTGAGCATCTGAACTGGTCCATGAAGCAATGAAAGAAGGTTACCTGGTCTGATTATTATTATTATTATTATTATTATTATTTATATGGCGCCAGCAAATTCCATAGCTCTGTACAATGGGTGGACTAACAGACTTAAATTGAGCCCTATATCTAACTGGAAGTCAATGTAGGGACTGACAGAGTGGGGAGGAGCGGGCAGACAGGAAAATTAGCCTTGCTGCCGCATTCATTATAGATTGCAGTGGTGTTTTGCAATGCTTATTTCAAGATCATTTATAAATATGTCAAATAGAAGCGGTCCGAGAACAGACGTCTGAGGGACACCACTTACCAATTTTGTCCAGCATGAAAATGTAACATTAATGCCAACTCTCTAGGTTTAAACACCGACCGATTGTGTGGAACCGTAACAAATGCCTTGGCAAAATCCAAGTTGATCACACCTACTGCAACACCCTGATCTATACTTCTACTTACTTCTTCGTGGAATACAATTAAGTTAGTTTAACATGACCTATGTTTCATAAAACCATGCTGATTTTTGATGATAACCACAAGAAAAACTACCACAACAAGAGGACATAGTCTTAAATTAGAGGGACAAAGGTTTAAAAATAATATCAGGAAGTATTACTTTACTGAGAGGGTAGTGGATGCATGGAATAGCCTTCCAGCTGAAGTGGTAGAGGTTAACACAGTAAAGGAGTTTAAGCATGCATGGATAGGCATAAGGCTATCCTAACTATAAGATAAGGCTAGGGACTAATGAAAGTTTTTAGAAAATTGGGCAGACTAGATGGGCCGAATGGTTCTTATCTGCCGTCACATTCTATGTTTCTATGTTCTTCTTAATGAATTCCTGAATATTAATTCCTAATAACTTTTCAACTTTTTCTGAGCAGCAGAAGTTTAGCTCACAGGTCTATAATTTCCAGGCAAGCTTTTAAACCTATTTTGAATATGGGAACCACATCTGCTTTCCTCCAATTTCCTCCAATTCCTGAACTAGAAGAATCTTGAAAGATTAAAACTGTCAGACACTTGGTATGCAGTGCTCAAACTAACTGCTGCATACAGCCTAAGTAGAGATATTAATATCCATTGAAAGCAATTAGGTGTGAGCAGGGTTATATCCCTGCACACATCAGGCTGTCTGAGGTGCTAGGCGATACCTGGGGCTCCTCTTTGTTAGTTGGGTCTATTTTTAAGTGGTACCAGACAGCTGGTGGGCCACCATCAGAAATTTTGGGGCCCCTAACACAGCCCAAGGCCTGCGTGTCACGTATTCATCCGCACATAAAAATGTGGTTAATGGCATTTACTGTCCTGACAGGAAAAGTTGTGCCGAGCAGAAATCATGCACATGGAAACCTGGTAATTACTTTTGGGGTCAAAGGCCGGTCATGGCCAATCAAATCCACAGGAGGGTTTGTGCCGAGCGGCAATCATGCACATGGAAACCTGGTAATTGCCTTTGCTGTCAAAGGCCGCTTACAGCCAATCGGATCCGCCGAAGGGATATTTAAACCCAATTCTCCTCTTGCTCATTGCCCTGTCGTGGTTTCATGCCTATGGTTATCCGAGAATGCGTTCCTGGTCTTGATTTTCTGGTATTTGACTTTGGCTTTGTTTTGACTTCCCTGATATCTGGTATCCCTGACTTTTGGCTTTCCCTCATCTTTGTGTCTGATTCTGTGTCCCTGACCTCGGCAATTATTTTGACTATTCTTGGAGACATTAAGTCCGGCCATTCTAAGGTCCGGTTATACGTTTTCCTTAGTCCTAGGTGTTACACAGTACTATGTGCTGGATCAACTTATAATTCTGACACTGTGCCCCGGGGGCCTGCCGCCAAATCCCACCCACATGACCTGCCTCCAAATCCATCCACAAGGAAGCAGTGTTTGTAGAGTGAATACAGGGTGTGTGTTTTCTGGGTGCAGTGTGTGTTTGTGTGTTGGCTACAGTGTGTGTTAGTTCAGGTGTAGTGGATGCAATGTGTGTGTAGTGGATGCATTGCATGTATATTGTGTGTGTGTG